GTTTAGGGCTTTAGGGGTTAGAGGTTTAGGGTTTAGGGGTTTAGGGCTTTAGGGGTTTATGCTCCTTTAGGGTTTAGGGGGTTTAGGGCTTAGGGGTTTAGGGTTATCTTAGGGCTCCTTTAGGGCTTGAGGGGTTTGTGGGGTTTAAGGCTTAGGGGTTTAGGGTTATCTTCGGGCTCGTTTAGGGTTTAAGGGTTTAGGGGTTTAGGGCTTTAGGGTTTAGGGTTATCTTAGGGCTCCTTTAGGGTTTAGGGGGTTCAGGGCTTAGGGGTTTGGGGTTTAGGGGTTTAGGGGGTTCAGGGCTTAGGGTTTGGGGTTTAGGGGTTTAGGGGGTTCAGGGCTTAGGGGTGTAGGGGTGTAGGGGTTTAGGGTGTAGGGTTCAGGGCTTAGGGGGTTTAGGGGTATAGGGGTTTAGGGGTTTAGGGGTTTAGGGTGTTCAGGGTTCAGGATTTAGGGGTTTAGGGTTAGGGTTTAGGGGTTTAGAGTTAGGGATGAGGGGTTTAGGGTTTAGGGCTCAGGCATTAGGGGTTGATAAACGCCAGAGATCCAGATTGCTGAATCCTATGCGCCAGACAAGCCAGACAGGTCCCAAACAGGGAACAGTATTGCAAAACACCTTACGGCTTCACGCATCAATACGACAAGATCAGGTTGGTAAGATGATATTGAAAATTGAAACCCCCCCTCCCCGCCCCGCAGATATAGCCAACACACTGACTGCCCTAACTACTCACGAAACCCGAAAACCCGTAGTCCTAGACCCTGGAGCCCTTCAAAGCCCTAAATCCTAGACCCTGCAGCCCTTTAAACCCAAAGCCCTAGACCCTAAGCCTAAACCCTAAACCCCAAAAACCTAAAGCCCTAAAAGCCCTCAAGCAAAAACGGCCTTAAGCAGCGCGCCACTCGCTTCGCGAGGATGCAACGCCACCAGCCCTGCAGCTTTGTGGCGCCTGCGCGGGTGTAGGGCTTACAGGCTCTGGGGCGTAGGATTTCCTGGGGGGGTTGCAAGGCTTTCTTTATGGAAAAACGGTGTTCAAGAAGTGTGAGAACTCTCTACATTCCCAGAGGGTCCATATATACTACCATTATGGAATTAGGTCCCAAAAGACCATTCATATTAGGGTTTTGGGGGCCTAATTCCATAATGGTAATATATATATATATATATATGGACCCTTAGGGATTAGGGTGTTTGTAGGGGCTTAGGCTTAGGATTAGGCTCAGGGCTTGAAGGTTCAGAAGTGAACTCGGGTTCGAAGTAAAGGACTTGGCCCTGTTGTTCCTATTGGTGGTATATAAGAACGTACACACATACACACATACATATATATATATATACACACACATACAGATAACCTTATTATGTTGAACATATATATCTATGTGTGTATACACATATGTACAAACAAGTAGTTAAACAAATACGAAAATCAACAAATAAGTATAAACAAATAAATACATACAAATGAACAAATAATTGAATACATAAAAAGATAAACGCATAAACATATACACATACATACACATATGTAGTTGTCTTTTGTTGCCTCCTGCTCTGTGCGAGCTGTTTGTTTGTTTGTTGATCTGAAAACCATAGATTCTGCTGGGCAAGTGTTGGGAATTCGGAGAAGCTCTTGTGCTTCTGGGTCTAGGGTTGTTCCAATGTCAGCGTCGTAAGAACTATGTTTAAACTTATCACCCTAAACCCTAAACCCTAAACCCCTAAGCCCAAAACCCTAAACCGCTTAGACTGCAGTCCTGCCAAATGAGCTCCAGTTTGGGGGCTCCCAGGAAAATCCGACAATACCTAACTTGTACGTACACCTGTGGCATTATGGTAAATGATGGTACATGTAACACAAAACTGGAATATTGGTGTCCCCCCATCCCTGACCCTGAACTCTAAACCCCACAAACCCTGGAAAAGGAGGACAACCAGCAGAAATTATCCTGTCAAGCCCTAAATCCCTAAAGCCCCAAACCCCGAAACCGCTAAACCCCAAATCCCAAGACCCCAAACCCCCAAACCCCGAAACCGAAACCCTAAACCCTAAACCCTTAACACCTCGACCCTAAACACCTAAACTCGAAACTTCCCTGAACCCTAAGACGGCTGGGCTCCCATTTAAGTTAAAGGAAACCACGGGTGGGGATTTTAGGGTTCTGGAGTTTAGGGTTTAGGGTTTAGGGGGTTTAGGGGTTTCGGGTGGTCCAGGGTTTAGTATTCAGGAGTTTAGGGTTTTGGGGTTGAGGGTTTTGGGGGCTTTTCAAGTTTTAGGGTGAGCCCAGCAAGCTAAAAGTTCTCCCATTGGCCCTAAACCCTAAACCCTAAACCCGAAACCCTAAGTCCTTGCTCCCGGTCTGCAGGACCATACTTCAAGCTGTGGAGGCTGTGATGCAGCGTGTAAAGCTGATCCTCGCCACTTGGGGTCACAAAAGGGTTTAAGAAATTTTGGGCTTAGCGCCTTGGGCGTTCGGTTTAGGGTTTATGAAGTTTAGGAAGATTAGGAAGATTAGGAAGTTTAGGGGTTTTAGGGTTCAAGGTCTAGGGCTCCCTTTGATGGGGATCCTCTTGTTTAGGGCTGCACACTAAACCCTAAACCCTAAACCCTAAACCCTGTACACTGGGATCCCTTTTCTGATCCTCGCCACTTGGGGTCGCAGGCCAGGATTCGGGCTCGAGCTGCGGGCTTTGGGCTTAGGGTTTAGGGTTTAGGGCTCAGGGTTTAGTTTAGGGTCTAGGGTTTAGGGTTTAGGTAGAGCTTGTGGTTTAGGATTCTTAGGAGTTACCTGAACTGCCGAAAACGACTCAGGAACCCCAAGCACGCAGGTTACCTGGGGTTCGGGTGCGGTTTAGGGTTTAGGGTTTAGGGTTTAGGGTTTAGGGTTTAGGGTTTAGGGTTTAGGGTTTAGGGTTTAGGGTTTAGGGTTTAGTGTTAGGGCTCAGGGCTTAGGGTTCAGGGCTCTCAGATTCCAGATTGACTTGCTGGTTGGTAAGGGGGCTGTATTGTGGCGCAGTCTTTACACGAGGTGTGTTTCATAGTTGGACCTGTATCTTGATCTTGGGTTTGCTGCCTTTCGTCTTCGGTATGATACAGGAGAGGCGATGTGTGCTACGGGCCCGGGATTGCCGGTTGTGCCTGTGGCAGACAGAACACTGCTTCCAGTGTTGGGCGGTCCAAAACCTGGCAGATTCCAACATGAGAAATAAAGTTCAACAAGTTCGTGCTTGCACACATCATAGACATGGATGGGGTCTACCTAAACTGCTAAGCTCCTACGGGGAAACCCTAAACCCTACACAGGATTTATCACAGGGACTCCCACTCCGTACCTGGAAAACAGCCCTAAGGGTCCATGTACTCGAAAAAGTACATACTTTGGCCTTACAGTAGTCCCAGTATAGGTACTGTAGGGCCAAGAATATACTCTTTGCCCTTAGGGCAAGCTTATAGAAACCTCGTATAGAAGTTCGTAGAGTGCCCTTTAAATGAGGCTTTAAGTTGGGTTTAAGAGTTTAGGGGTGTAGGATGTAGGGTTGGGTTTGAATGGAGCCCTGCGCGCTAATCCGCAATCCCTGAAACACGTTCTTCTCCTCCAGCTGCTCCCCCAGAGCGACCAGATCAGGTGACGGCGTTGCAATAGCCTTGTGGTTTATGGTTCAGGATTCCCTTAAGGGTTTGTTTGAGGGGTTTTGTATTCGGAGCTGTTGGGGTTGTAGGTTTACGGCTTGTGGGGCTGCTGGGATTGAAATGCTTTTGTTTCCAACCTTTTCTAAAAAAGTCTAGGCCTTGTCCGAATTCGGCTTCACCCCGAGCTGGCTTTCAGGGTAGTCTGGAATATCGCGACGATCTTCCACTTCTACACAACAGTCAGTCCCCAAAAACACCGGTAGTGTTTGTGTGTGTGTGTGTGTCTCCGAGTAGGGTGCAGGCGGTTGGAAAAGAATCGCCACCACGTTTGAAAATTGAACCTCAGGCCTAAACCCCAAACCCTAAAGCCTAAATTGAATTCGTGGCAACTTTGACCTTAGAGTTCTGAGGACGTCGGGGTTGATACGTTTACCCTAAAACCCTTAACCCTTAACCCCCAAAAGCCCTAAGCCGCAGAAACTGCGGAAGCGAGGTTTCAGGATTTTCGCGTCAATTGCCAGGCCCGGGCCTTTAACTCGAATGTATGGGCCTTAATAATTGGAATACGTTTTTTTTTTTTTTTTCGGTAGGGGGGGTTCGATATTGTAATTATAGTATAATATATCTAAAAATCTATTGTACTTATTAAGGGTTAGTGTAGGGGGTACTGTAGGGTTTAGGGATTTAGAGGTTCGGGCTAAGGGTTTAGGACGGAGTTTAGAAGGAGCTTAGGGCTTCATGGTATACGCTGAATTGAGCAAGCCACAAGGCCCTCACACAGTAGTACATAGCCACCAGCCCAAGGGGTCCATGTACCCAGATGAGAGGAAAAGAAGCATGAAGACAAGGAAGACCAAGAAGGAAAGGACGAAGAGAAGGAGGATGAAGAGATGAGGCAGGCACATGATGCATGAAGTTGGATTTTTTTATTGGGGACTTGGTGTGTAATGATACAGCACTCCTTCAGAGTATTGCTGGGTGTATGTTTTGGCCATGGGGATACTTTGATACCCGTAATACACTTATTCAACTTCAGAAGTTGCAGGCTTCAGGGTTTAGGGAAGTTTAGGGTCCAAAGCGAGGGGAACGAGCACCAACCTCCGTGGTCTCGAGTTCCGAGCTAGCCTGACATCCATCCCTGCAGCGGTAAATAGCTACTTGAAGCTTAAAGTTTCGTCGTTTCTTTTTCTGCGGGGCCAAGTTTTTATCTACTTTGCTTTGCATGTAATCTTTTGAAGCGGTCTGATTCTCACCGTTCTATACCTAGGCATGCACCTTCCAGCAGAACTTGTTTGCGAGCCAGCTCTGATAAACGAAGACTGTGGGTGCAATCAGAAAGCTGCGCAGCTTTGCAGCAGCTCCCAACCTTCACATATATGGCTGATGGACCCATTTCAATTTTGGGTCGATTGGATCGAACGAGTCTCTGCCGAAAGGACTGTCTTCATGTCCGACCTCCTTCTTCAACTCAGCAAAGATCTCGACAAGCTGGCGTATGAAAATGGACAGCAAATGATGCACATGCGGCTCCCCGACAGCCGCTAGGGGAGCATCCATGTCTACTACAATGTCCTTGTCATCATCGATATAGGTCTTCACGAAACGCCTGGCTTCGTTCAACTCGTTGGCGAGAATCATGGCACGGGCATGCACCAACTGTTCCGGCCTTTTAAATCCGACCCGCAGCTTCAAAACATCTTCGTCAGACAAGAAGATGCCAATCTTTAGCGGCTCCCGAAGGACCCATTGAGTGACAAGTGTGTCCTTCACTTTCTTTGAGGATTTGGCGGCAACGGTCAGGTTCATTTTCTTCAGAGTCTTCTCGATCGTTCGCTCGTGGTGAGCACGGCCACGATCCGACGAGGAGAGATGTTTCTCCAACTCATGCTGAAGATCGCCTGACATGCTCCGCACCTGGTTCCACCTGCCAACCTGGGCCACAAGAAGGAAACCTCACAAGCCAGTCTCATATACCTTCGGCACCAAACCAAAAACCCGCAAAACTGGCCTGATCCAACTTGCAGGAACCCAGGGCAGGTGCTTAGGACTCGGAAGACAAACAAAACCCGAAGCCAGCAACTCAGTACAACGGTTCTAAGATGAGCTGGAGGCTGGACATACCGCACGCAGGGGATGCACATGGTTTGCCAAGGTCAGCCTTGATGTTGCTGTGGTTGCAATCCTGCTGCCAGCCACCAGTGAGGACCGCACTCGAGACATGGCAGGTTCCCACAGTCACAGTTCCTGCAAAACGATATCATGCATCAGCCGTGTCAAAGCTTCGCATGTTGCCACGATACATGCTGTGTAGACCAGCTTGTCCGCAAAGCAACCTGCCTCGAGCAAAGAAGCGGAGGACAACGGCTGAATGTCGCATAATGTATGGGCCTTAATAATTAGAAAACTATTTTGGGGTGTTCCTTAAATAGTATTATAGTATAATGGACCCCAGAACCTATTCTGATTATTATGAAGACCCCTATAGTAACCCTCTCCATCTAAAACACTCAATTACGCGCTTTTGCAAATTCGGGTTTTCGTGTGAATGTCTTCACTTCGATCAATCAAGACTAGCTCGTTCATTCTGTGCCACGATCGCATGTCGCGATGCCTGACCGCGTGTCACATTCCAATGCTTGCATTAAATGATATTCTAAAGCACCGTGTGTGTGTGTGTGCGTAGATATACATGTGTGTACGTATCTATATCTGTACATATATAACCACAAACACACACACACACACATATATATATATATATATATATACACCTACATACTACATATATATATATATATATATATCCCGCCATGCACATCCAAGTTATACAGGCCTTATGCCTCTCCTCACGGTATTATTCATCACACTGCCCTAATGATACTGATCTGGAAGTCATGGTAGGCATGACGCATAGTTTTGAGATGCGGGCTAGACTATCGCGAACCACACTAAACACCATAAGATCTCTTGATATAGTATGTTACAACTAGTTAAATCATTAAAACTGCGTTATGGTCGACAATACTGTGCAGGTTGTAAAGGATTATGAACAATGAGCGTTGACAGACGAGATTTATAATTGCTACATGAGCTCGGTGTTGCCAGCAGGTTCCATTTCGATCCCTAAACCGTCATTGAGGCTGTGACGGCCATTGCGCGCTGTTCGCGGACGACCGTGCGGACGGCGGACTGAAAACCTAGGCTACAGTTCAAGGAAACCCGCACCGAATCCTAAACCTCAAGCCGTTTCAGGGCTTTGGGCTTTGGGGTTAGGGTTCATGCCAAGGTTTTGGTTTAGGTTTCAGGAGCTAAACTAAACATAAGCCGGTTTTCAGGCTCCGCCTTGATCGGAGGCTCCTTTGGGTTGCTGGCCGCTGGTGTTTTCGAGGGTGACGTTTATGTGAAGTTCAGGGCATGGGTTTTTACAGGATTGGGCTTAGACAAGTCTCCAGGGCTTCGGTTTTGTACAGGTTCGGAGTTTTGGCTTGCGGGGGTGTTCGGCTTAGTGTATACCTGTGACCCCAAACCCTACAAAATAGTAGGTTATGACCCCTTAATTAGAGGGTAGAACTCTTAAAACGGTAGGTTTTTAGATCCCTTGGCTACCCGCATTTCCACAAAGCAGGTACCTCGCCTAAAACCCGCGAAGAGTATCTACTTTGGGCGATTGAAGGAGTTTGGCAAGCTGTTCTTTCATAAAGAAGGCTCGGAAACAACGAAGATCTGTATAAGGGGGCCCTATCCTAAACGCTGCCTAAGTAGGCACCCGGAGAGCAAAAGCAAGATCATGGACAGTCCATGCTAGTCCCATGCAGTCTGATTTTAGGGCTTTCGGCTTAAGGGGTTTAGTGGGTTTGGAGATGTTGGGTTTGGGGTATAGGGTTTAGGGTTTAGGGTTTAGGGTTTAGGGTTTAGGGCTTAGTGGGTTTGGAGATGTTGGGTTTGGGGTTTAGAGGTTTACCGTCTATGGGGCTTATACGGTTTAGGGGGATTGCTAGGGTCCCGACACAACTCAAGCAGAACCCTAAACCCTAAACCCTAAACCCTAAACCCTAAACCCACAACTCCAGGCTCTACCTTACCTTCAACTCCGAATCGGACGTGTGGCGCGCCCGTAGCTTGAGCCGCTTCTCCTGCCCCGATGGTGAAGGCCCTACATCACACTACATATTTTGGCCTCATTCGGAGACTCCAAAACCCCTTAATTAAGGAATATATATAAGAGGATCCCTAATACGATTTAAAGTATATTCCTTAATTAAGGGGTTGGGGAGTCTCTGGGCAATCGCCTTTCCCCTTGGATAGCTTTAGGGTCTGTGTAAGGACCCCCCAACGACCCTTTAATAGAGCCCTTATGGTCCTCAATAGTGGGTATTTAGGCTATATTAGAGGGTAGTTGGGGGTTCTAGGTGTAAGGAGTATTTGCTCGTCAAGTGGGGACGGTTTGGGTAATCTGTCTGAACCCAGCAGAGTTCCCTGGCTCCTGTAAACTTAATCCCAAAGGGTCCTAAGTATCTACAGTTGGATACTTGCCAAATTTACTGGTAATTCCTACTATATAAACCCTACCTTCTGCTATTCAGATACTCTGGAGCCTTTGGGAATTTAGCTCTGGAGCAGCTGCATAAGCTCAAAAGGGATACAGATTGCCCGCTCTGCGATTCAAGCTATGGGGAACCCGCATGGTGTACTAGCACAAACATTTGCCAAGTTTACCCAAATGCTGCAAGGACGCACACGTTGAGGCTGACTTGGATCCTAAGACCCTACTTTACAAAAGTTCGTTTTGGCTGGCTTCAGCTTTCAGATTTGGGGTGACCAAGAGCATACGGTTTAAGGTTGCCCTAAACCCTAAACCCTAAACTGGATCTCGTGACCAATCCAATCCTGAAGCCTACAGTCAATTAAGGGCTATGCCCTCACTGAGCCCTACGAACCACCCTTCGGGCTCATTATTGCAGCGTCTTGCTTTCAACCCTTTAAAAAGATACGCTATTTGGAGTTAGCGTTTACCCTAACCCTTGCGGAATCCCCACACATTGTCAATGACCCTAAATTCGCCTCGGCCCCCGGCCGAAGCGGTCAGAGGTTCCTATTCGGACTTCCTCTAGACTCTAGACCCCACCTCTAATCCCCTCCCCGTGCCCTCCAAAATGACCCTCAAGGGGGGGGGGGGTGCCCTTTGGGTGAACCCGAAAATGAGCCCCCAGCCTGCCTTGACTCCTCCCTTCCTTCATCTCCTCCTCCGAACGCAATCTCCTCCCCTTCCCCTCATCCGCCTCGCCAACGGCGCCTTTAGCACCAGCAATTCGTTGGCCCTCTTTGTTTGCGGCCGGGCCGAGGCGGACGACGCGAAGCGTTTTAAATTAACCCTAAACCTAAACCCTAAGCCCTAAACCCTAAACCCCGTTTGGAAAGTCCGGAATCTCCCAGGGAGAGATCTGGGTCTCTATTTGGAGGTTCATGGGTAGTTATAAGTAGGGTTATACGTAGGGTACCTATAGTTATGACCTATATATCGGGGACTTATAACGCCACTTATACCTGCCCATGAACCTCCAAGTATGGGGTCTGAGAATTCCGTTCCCCAAAACTCTTAGGAACCTTAGGGTAAACCCCGAACTTAAGCCCTGAACCCTAATCCTAAACATCAAACCCTAAAGCCCACGCCGAAAAACGTGCAGCCTGAACAGTAAACTCTAAACCCTAAAACCCGAAGCCAAAACCCTAAACCCCAACCCAATAAGCTCCAAGCCCTATAAGCCCTATAAGCACTAACCCCCCACCCCCCTCCCTTCGCTTTCCCCCGCTCGCTCCCCCCCCCAAACCTGAACCCTCAACCCTAAACCCTAAACCCTAAACCCTCAACCCTCAACCCTAAACCCCTCCAATCCTGCTCGGTGATGCGGCTCTCTTCCAAGCGGCGCCTCTCTTCGCCTGCCACGAGACAGCCCCGCAGGCCTAAAGTACCATTACACAGGGATTTTACTGTTTTTGTTTAGGGTTTAGGGTTTAGGGTTTATGGTTTAGGGTTTAGGGTTTTTGTTTAAGGTGCTTGAGGCTGAGGCGGTGCGATGAACCTTTACAGAACTGAAACGGCTGAATGCCTGAGAGGACTTTCTGATAGTTTGTGTGAATTCTACGAGGTTTTATAGGTTCATACAAGGGCCCTGAACCCCTTCAAGCCCGAAAGCCTAACACCTGAACCCTACAGCCCCAAAGTATACAACACCCCCCCAACTCCCCAGACTAACCCTAAGCCCTAAACCCTAAAGAAAGGTCTTGCTCCCGTGCATTCCCCGAGGTCGGGGTCGGGGGCTGTAGAGGGAGATCAGCTGCTTAGAGGTGCAGTGTAAACGTTCTATACAGGTTCCTATGAAAACCCTAAACCCTAAACCCTAAACCCTAAACCCTATGAAGGTCCCATACACGATCTAGGAAAGCTTCAATGAGGGTTTAGGGTCTAGGATAAGACCGTAGTATCCCCCAAAAGGAACTGCAATGGAGACTATAGGTAGACCCTCCTAAACCCTAAACCCTAAACCCTAAACCCTAAACCCTAAACCCTAAACCCTAAACCCTAGACTATAGGTAGACCCTGAACAAAAGAAACACAACGCCGACCTTCGAGTTGGCGAGCTTTTTCGAGCTCCTGGAAGCTCGAGGCTGCGGAGGTCCAGTGGTGTAGGGGTTTAGGGATATAGGGTTTAGGGTTTTTTGGGCTTTAGATGTTTAGGGTGTATAAGTTCGGGCTCTTTTAGGTTTGGGGGCTTCGGGGGTATAAGATATTTAGGGTTTTGGCAGGGTTTAGGTGTTTAGTGTTTACCGGTTTAAGGCTTTTGGGGGGTTTGGGTTTGTCGGGCTTTGGGGTTTAAGGGTTTATAGCTTTTAGGGTTTAGGGGTTTAAGGCTCAGGGGCTGAGGGTCTGGGATTTTTTCTAGGGTTTAGGATGTACCTAGACCAGGGTCCTTGAACGGTTGCTTTAAGGGTCCTACAATGGGCTCACGACACGGGTTTTCAAGTGTGGGCTTTTATGAGTTTTAACACTCAAGAAAGCCCGCACTTAATTTTATAGGGCGCAAGACTTGTGATGTTTGTGATGCGATAATCTAGTTGATGGTTAGGATCCTAAAATATGAGAATTGCGGCACTTAAACATGCATGACAACCCAGGGTCTAGGTATATAGGCTGGAAAGGATCCTAGGGCGTCGGATTTAGT